AAATGTGTGTCCATGTCCTCGTCAGCACACCTACTTAATTTTTTTTTTTTTAAACATAAAAAAAACACTTTAAGCGATGAAAAGAAACAATTTTGTGAATTTTTTTAAGGTGAATCTAATTTTGCCTTATCCTTGAAGCTCTTCTAATGCCATACTTCAGGATACGCATGAGACGTCTGTTGATAAGACTGCTGTACCTTAGGTGCTCTAAGGAGCGTTAACGCATATCTTTCCATCCTAGACTTGATAAAAACTCCTTTGCTGGGATCAGACAGATCTGCTGTTAACTATTACATCATTTTTTCATATTTCAAATCACCGCATTCAACTGCACACTTCATTTGATCTCAGTTTGCAGTTTTTAATAAATGTGTTTTTGCTACCGTTGGTTATTTAAAACACCTGAATGTTCCCACTGTGGGACAACAGCGGATTGCTAATAATTAGGTTACTGCTAAGGAAGGGGGGGGATAAGGCGCTATAAATGTTTTATTTTATTGTCGCTGTGATGATTCTCCTTCTCAGAGGACGGAGCAGTAGTCACCATCGATGTCAGCCTGGCCTACAGAGATGATTTATACAGCGAGTGGACGGAGATGGCTCGTTCGTTTGAACGGAGGAACCTAAACTGCAAGTTCTCATTTGAGAAGGTAAAAAAATGTTTTGGTGTTAGGTGATGTTTTTTTCTTTTATACTTTCCAAGATTTTCTAGAAATTGTTATTAAATCTTTAAATGTTTGATCCCCTTTGCTATTTCCATCATGTTTTCTGGTTTAGAGCAGATTTTAACATTTACACTACCTTCTGAAAACCGATCCATGCAGACCTTAAGACGATTTACACACCATGCTAGCACGGTTCCTGGCCTCCTAGTGATGATTTACGGTACTAGAAAAAACAACCTTAAACAGAAGGGATGGACTCAGGTTTCAGCTTTCAAAAACCTCCAATGCAGCGATAGAGTTGATTCCTTCCCGCTATCATCACAACCCCAACCCCTTTACAGGAGAACAGAAGACCTCGCCTATTCATCCAGGCCAACTATTCCCTCTAACGACCCCCCTTTCAGAGACATAGACAGGTATGGGGCATTGCAGGCTAACAAAGAAGCCAAACGACCCCCATTCCAAAGGGGGGGACCCGTTCATCCGTTTCTATTTGCATGTTTTCTAAATAAAACCAGGCTTTGTTGGTCTGCTGGATAAAACCTG